CAGGCCCACGGGAGGAACGAGAGGACAGCCACGCCGCCGAGTCGCGAGCTGAAATCGCGCATGTTTACCTATAGATCGATCTTGCCTCGGAAAAAAAAACCTACAAATCGATCTCCATCTTATAATCTTTTTCCGATCGATCTTTATCTCTCTTTCTCCTGACCGCTTGCTCTAGCCCTAGCACTAGTTGTACCCGATCGCTAGCCTCCCTGGCAAGCTCACCCAATCACCAGCGCTAGGGGTAGCAATCCTCCTTGGCCGGAGACGGGAGACACCACATGGCAGGAAAGAGGAGAAGAAAGCCATGCCAAGGGGAGGCCTCATGCCCACCACTCACCGGGATAGTGTGATTTCAATCCATGGAAGAAAAGGTACGTCTCAATCTTCAAGAAACAGATGACCTATACGGTTTTATCATGATAATGGGTAAAGATTTATAAAAGATTCAGTATGGCATCTCCATTGTTCTAATAGGATTATCAATAATCGATCGATTAAATATTGTTAGGGATGTATATTGTCAGAGATTTGACCTTTATGAGTTCAGCGTGATAATAGGTAAGATTTTATTGAGTTGGTCTGGTGCCTTTGCAAATTCGCACCAGTTTTTGAATTACTAATTTCTTCTTAAAATTTTATCACATTTATGTCAGCTAACTATGCATTCAGAAATATTACAAAAATTAATTAAGTTAGTATGCACAACTTATTTTTATGTGATTGTTGGTAACATTTTATATATATGCATACATCGATCATTGTTTTAGTATTTATATTAAGGGCCCCGGGCTATAGTTTCGCCCCGGGCCCCCGAAATCTCAGGACCGGCCCTGCCACCATGATCAAGAAAATACTTGACAGTAGAAACATGACCAGACTGAGCAGACAACATAAATGGAGTCGCACCTGTAACAAAAAGCATACGTCAGCGCAACCGTAGATATCATACTGGCAAACATTGACATGGTAGCCACCAATTTTTTAAATGGAGAAAGGGATAGAGAAAGACCTTCAGCT